ATTTTATTAAATTTAATTAACTTTAGTTTTTCTAAGTTTTGAAATAATATGTTGTTAACGGGCTTCTAACCGATTGGGTCGATAGCCTTTTTCTGTAGGACGTAAAGATTAATTTTATGTTAAAATATATATATATGTTGTTAACTAAGTTTACTAGTTATACCAGTTATACTAGTTATAAGTAGTTATTACTGTTATTAGTATTTAGCCATATAAAAGATCCGTTAAGATTTGAGACCCGTAGTTGGAAAATTTCAAGACCCGGATCCGTCGAGCCCTTTCAAAGATCCGGAACCCTAAGTCGGGTCAGTTTCGACAGTCGAATATTGACAAATGATTGACAACCAATAACCACAGATGTTTATGTCTTTTGTTTTTCTTTCGTGATACAATGGAAAAACATCAGGAAAACGGAGAAAATAACTTTATCACTAGTCCTTCTAAAATCAAATCTATAAAGATGCCACAGACCGAACCAAACAACATGGTGCAGAGCGATAGTATCAAGCCGAAAGCTCCTAAAGCTAAAAAACGAAAAAAACCTAAAGATACAACGGCGCCCCGACAACCGTTAACAGGTAAATTGTCCAGCCGGTGCATTTCGTTCTATTTAATTACCGGTGGTAAAAAATTGTCTTCATTATAATTGCACCACTTGGGCTTAATTTTTATTAATGCTTCTAGGTTATATTCGCTACTTAAATGATAGACGAGAAGCTGTTAGAACTGCTAATCCAGCAATGTCTTTTGTTGAAATTACAAAGATTCTAGCCAGCGAATGGACAAACTTGCCAGTTGAGAAGAAGCAGCAATATTTAGATGCTGCTGAGCAAGACCGAGAAAGGTAGATATCTAGAAATCTAGACATTAATTTTAAGATTAAATTTGAAGAATTATTTGTGCAGAAYCGGTTATAMCGTACAACTGGCCCATCTTCCTTGAGACGTTATTACAGGGGAACAAATAAAGTATTTCTAATTCYACTGTKCGTAACCGCGTTATGARGWCCACATTTGAAAGTTAGTCTCGATAATCATCTAGGTGATCGGGCCTTTGCGTTCGCGGTTCACAATWTGCTCACACTGTAGGAAATCCTTTTAGTAACAACTTTTCTTGGTGGTGTTTTTAGCAAAAACCACTTACAACGTTCGGAAAAATTGGTGATTGATGTTACTTTCTGGTTTTTGGGTTGATCGRTCAATAGATAGATAGTGRCAGACAAAAAAAGGGACTATTTTTCTTGGGCCAACGTTTCGGCATTATTTAAGCCSTTATCGCGACTCTAAAAGTTGACAGTRATCAGTYTTAAAAGTAAATAAAAGTTATTTGTCATTAATATAATTTACTATTATTTTCAWYCKKAAYGTGCKWAATWTTCATTCKCTKAMWTTGAAGTTTWTMMASKYRATASSACAAACAATCACAMTGAATTAWAACARTACCCAATAACTAAACTCTRWTTATRWAATMAAWMWTGMWATWTTCAAAGATTGCTGAAAATAACAGAAAGGTCCGMRTTMCTAGTARYTGCCCTATTMTGTGTCTTGCACATGTTTGAASGCAAACATTCTTCSCTYAYTTCCTCATATTGATTGAYGAAGWTWCYATTGCAGAWWTYCMTTCTWMATWTTCGCKTGAAGWTTCCGAACCAGTAAAACAKTCTCATTRMTKTGRMWTTTKTMYMCTTSCATAYCACAAAYATTTCGTACWMCYTWTMATWRRATGCTCTMRAYTATTAYAGKCAGSACAWTWWCTGTARATTTTGCTGCGTWTTTWTWWMRTMWMMATCTGMATATKWTACAWACGATTTTGYTKWWAATCAATCGTAAGCAGWMSCGRCAMCMGAATSKTSCGGATAASTTTTTCATGCCTARWWGTTGSTGCCWRWTMTGATGTACGCKTKCATTCATGCTTGCACAACACTAGMAATCTCACGCACCTTCACTCTTCTGCCATCCATAATCATATGWATKTTATCAATGATTTCTGGGGTAGTAGAGGAAACAGGTTGYCCAGGACGTTCAGCGTCACTTGYGTCCATATRRCCACTCYGAAAATTTTGAAACCACTTATAAACTGTTCTAATTGATGAGGCAGAGTCACCGTAAGGTTTATCAAGCTTCTCTTTAGTCGCTTGAGGCCATTTGCCTTTCATAAAGAATGTTTAATCAGTACGCGAAATTCTTTCTCGTCCAGAATTTGAAAATCTCTCGACTCCTTCGTTTCAAACGAACGCCAAACACAACGAAATAAACCGATCTGGCCTAAACTTGGTGTACGTTCTTCCAAGAGATGCTACTAACTGAAAATAATTTCTATAGGTACCAGTGGTGTCCTTTATCTGACTGCACATACTTTTCAAAGCCCCCTCGTATATGTGCAAAAGGTTTGTTGGGTTGGGGTTGTAATTTGGACTATGTTTACAATTTGCAGAAAGTACAGAATGTATTTTCTACTTGAATTTAGTGAAATTTTAGTGGAAATTTACTTGTTATTCTTCTTTCTGACTTTTTTTAGATATTCCAAGGAGTACGAATTGTATAAGCAAACGGATGCTTATAAACAATTTACTCAACAGCAGACGGACAAAAAAGTGAAGGAAACCAAAGATAAAGAGCTTTATGAAAAAGTAACATTGGGAAATGTAAGTACTACTATCTAAATTTACTTTCAACAAATCTTTCGTCTCAGTGCAGCAGATGTAAAATGAAGGAAATTTAAGCAAACATGGCTTTCAGCAAGCAAAACAGGTGTTTACCGATAGTTTAAGCACAGCTTAAATATCATCCAGCTAGGGCACTCGCCGTCGGCATGTTTGATCTAAAGGTTTCGTCCAACGCTTGCTATCTCTCTCGCACGGGGTTTATTTGTCGAGTCCGGACTAAAACGATTTCTATTATTGTAAATGAGTTCGAACAGTGCCGCATTAAGAAATCTTTAAATAAAATTAATTTTTTACTAAAATTTTAAAATACAACCACACATCGATTTACTGATTGTCTATTTAATATATTGTACCGTGGATGGCCGAGTATCAAACTCTTTCTTCAGCTTCCAACTTTTATTAACTCGGTATAACTTTAAATACGGAACAGGAACAAACTAACTTCAAAATGACCGTCAACTTCACAAAAAATAACAATAACAAACGGAAGACTCGGTCTTCCGACTCGCGGGGTGTTACCTCTTCTGCACTCTGTCACTGCTGTCACTTCACTGACTCTTGTTTGGTTTTCGTCGTCGCTTATATAGTTTCCTCCAGGTAACCCAGACGGTTCTCGAAATCTCCAGAACAGGTGC